CCATGCCCAGCTAATGTTTTGTATTTTTAGTAGAGCCGGGGTTTCACCATGTTGACCAGGATGGTCTCGATCTCTTGACCTCGCGATCCACCTGCCTCGGCCTCCCAAAGTGCTGGCATTACAGGCGTGAGCCACCGCGCCCGGTGGCATTCTTAAATAATCTGGTATGAGAGAAAGCAGGGCCAGTGGTGAAGAGCCCAGCTGCCTGGGTTGCCTCCTAGCCTTTGTTTCTTTCAGGACCCTCTGCACTTGTCTAACCTGTAAAGGCAGATAGTTGCATTAAGTTTTGCTAAGGGAGAAAAACAAATTAATATTGCTTGTCACACAGCGAGCACTACGTAAAAGATATTACCAAACAACAAACAAATGAAATATATGACCACATTTCATGAGTGAGGATTTTAGTCCAACAATGATGATGCTCATCAAGACAGTGCCCTGAAATGGAGTTTATCCATCTTCTTGCATCTCCCAGAAAAGCTCTGACTTGAATGCGCCTGTGTACCGGTCCCCAGCTTCCTGACTCAGTGTCCGTTTCTGTCAACAATAGTCTCTTACATGCAGAACACACGGCAGTGAACATGTTATATCCTTGCCCCATGCATCTGTGACGTCCACAGGTAAATCTCCATCCCCCGAGGCGCCGCCCTGCCACCTGCTCTCCTCCAGACATCTGTGCGGCAGCGCCCCCTGCTGGGCCACAGCGGCTCAGCGGCGAGCGCGCCTCCTTTCTCCTGCACCATCGCGTGGCAGGCATTTTCACACTTCTGTATCTTTACTTACGCGTTCCCTCTTGATCAAAATGACATTTGCTCCTCGAATTATGGTTTCCTCAATTTATTTTTTCAAGGCAAACCACACCTTTCCTATTCTCCATAAACTGCCTTCCCTCAAGAATATTCCATTCCCCTTCCCATGTTGCTCCCACATCAGATGTGTTTTATTTATACATATACTTTCAAAATAAATATGAGGCCAGTTGCGGTGGCTGATGGCTATCATTTTAGCGCTTTGGAAGGCCGAGGCGGGTGGGTCACCTGAGGTCAGGAGTTCAAAACCAGCCTGGCCAGCATGGTGGTGAAACCCCATCTCTTACTAAAAATGCAAAAAAATTAGCCAGGTGTGTTGGCGGGCACCTGTAATCCCATCTACTCAGGAGGCTAAGGAAGGAGAATTGCCGGAGTCAGGGAGGCAGAGGTTGCAGTGAGCCAAGATTGCTCCACTGCACTCCAGCCTGGGCAACGAGAGCAAAACTCCTTCTCAAGAAAAAAGTGAAATAAGTACGAATACTATGAGGTCAGGAACTGTTGTCTAATTCTTCTCTGATTGCCTGTTAATGCTGCACAATAACTGCAAAATTAATGAATGTGTGGGATTTTAAATGTATTTTCATGTGCACCAGCTGAATTTCCATGTTAGAACATATGTAACATCTCTAGCCCTCAGAAATGTATTTTAACCTATTTTAGGTCTTTGTGTGCTGTTTTTTTCCAGCAGCTATTTATTGGAATGTGCATATGTGAGTGTGCATGTGTGTGTGTATAATTCTGTGTTTTATTCTAACAAAAATCCTAATCATTCTTTATTTTCGGCAACTGTTGTTCGTTCAGGATCCAAGAGCAAACTCAAAGGCCATATTCTGAGTTCCAGAGAAGTATCTAATAATTTGTGAAGATTTTACATATTATTTGAGTGAATGTTAGCTTTGGCCATACAGAAATTAAATGGGAACACTCTCATAGCTTTCTTTCAGTTCCTCAAACTTTCTCTGATGATCCTTAGCATCTCTTTGATGTGTACCAAAAGTATATTTCTGGGCTTTCCGGGAAAACTCTCCTCTCATCCTGAAGTTCAAACAGAGCATTATTTGTCATTACCAGCTGTTTCGTTACACTTCTGGGGGAAAGATGTCCTGGCATGTGCTGTACTGAAAATCAGCAAATGTGCTCACTTATGATTACTTGGCTTTGATGTATTATTTCATATTTCCACTCCTCAGAGTAGCTTTATCACTCAGAATGACTCCACATTGGTCTTTCTCCAATATCCCATTGTAAGCATGAGTGACCTTGTGTAAAAACATAGAAAAATTATGTTCTATATTAGGGAAAGTATAATCTGCTTGTGCTAAAAGATTTTTTTTTCCTTGAGATCTATCCACTTGAAATATTGTCCGGATTAGTCACCCTGGTTTCATGAGCTTGTGTGCTAGCGCCATCGATGAAGAAAAAATGCTGTACTTGCTCATGAAAAAGCTTCTGTTTTTCCTGAAAACACTGGATAACTTCTACAAAATAATTCTTGACTAATATAAGAGTGTATGTGATAGAGGACAGATTAATATGCATCAGCACGTGGGAACAAAGGCAGTTTAGAGAAAGAGTTATCTTTGGAGGCTGCAGTGTATATAAATATATTCCCATCAATATTACTCTGTAATATGGGATCGGACTCCCAGCAATAGCCATGGAAATTCCAAGAAAAAATTTAGTATTATTTGCCTGGGATAATGTGCTCTTTAAATTTAAGGATAGACTTCACATACAGTATAAGTAATATAATATGATATTTAGATTTCACATACAGTATAAGTAATATAACATGATATTTGTCTTTCTGTGCCTGGCAATTTTCACTTTGCAAAATGTCCTCTAACCTTATCTATGTTGTTGCAAATGACAGAATTTCATTCTTTTTTGTGGCTGAATAGTGCTCCCTTGTGTATAAGTACCACATTTTCTTTATCCATTCCTGTGTTGATGGGCATTTAGGTTGATTTCATATCTTGGCTGTTGTGAATAGTGCTACAATAAACATGGGATGTCCCTTTGACAGATGTCCCTTTGACATACTGATTTCAGTTCCTTTGGATATAGGCCCAGTAATGGAATTGCTGGATCCGTTTTTAATTTTTAAGGAAACTTCATACTGCTTTCTGTAAAGGATATACTTCTTTCCACTAACAGTGATAAGAGTTAGCTTTTCTTCTCATCTTCACCAGCATCTGTTATTTTTTGTCTTTTTGTTAGTCACCATTCTAACTTGGGTGAGGTGGTATCACATTGTGGTTTTGTATTGCATTTTCCTGATACTGAGTGATGTTGGAGTTGAGAGTGGAATGGTGCTTACCACACAGTGGGGCACATGGAAGGGTCAGAGATGGGGAGAGGTTGGTCAACAGGCACAGTGTTACAGTTAGATGGGAGGAATACGCTCTGTTACTCTAGAGCACAGTGGGATGACCACAGCTAACAGTAATGGATTGTATATCACAAATAGCTAGAAGAGAGGGTTTTGAGTGTTCTCACAACACATACATTATTAATGTTAAAGTGATGTATATGCTAATTATCATGATAATTACACAAAATATCCATGCATCAAAGCATCACATTGTTTACCATGAATACATACAATTACTATGTGCTAATTTTTAAAAATTAAAAAATATTAACTGAGGATAAATATGTATTCCTATGCATTTTCCCACTATGTTAATAGTGACTTGATAATTATTAAATGAAAATGTCATTTCCAAGTGGTCATTATTCCTGCGGACTTTTTGGTGCAGAATAAGAGCTAAAGATTTTCTTCTATCTCACAGGAATTACCTTTTGTGTCTGTGACAAATGGAGATGTTAAGTGCACTTGCTAGGGAGAATATTTATATTAATGGGATTAATATGCATATTCTGGATAACTGACAAGATTTATCGACTTCTTTGGTGATTACTAAGGTGCTGGCTCAAAGCTACATAGTGTAAGTTCAGAAATCTTTAGTGTATTTTCACAATTCCTCAAAGTATGTAAAGTCAACACATTGGATTAGGCATCAAAAATCTTGGGTCTCAAAGTACAAAAAAATTAGCTGGGCATGGTGGCCTGCACCTGTAGTCCCAGCTACCCAGGAGGCTGAGGCAGGTGAATTGCTTGAACCCGGGAGGCGGAGGTTGCAATGAGCCGAGATCGCGCCACAGCACTCCAGCCTGGCGCCTGGCGATGGAATGAGACTCTGTCTCAAAAAAAAAAAAAAATATATATATATATATATATATATATATATATATATATATATATATGTGTGTCTTAAACTAGACTCCTGGCTGGGCACGGTGGCTCATGCCTGTAATCCTAGCACTTTGGGAGGCCGAGGTGAGTGGATCACCTGAGGTCAGGAGTTCAAGACCAGCCTGGCCATCATGCTGAAACCCCATATCTAAAAAATAAACAAATAAATAAATAAAAAATAAAATAAATAAAAAATTAAACTAGACTCCTCTGTTTTTAACTAGATGTGTTAATTTGGGTAGTTTACTTCATCTTGTTACCCTTATTTCCTTCTAGGTATAAACTCTGTGTGTGTGTGTGTGTGTGTGTGTGTGTTTGTGTTCATGCATTTTGTTTTCATGCATGTCTGTGCATGTGTATATGCATGCATGCATACATTTGCTTGTAACTAGCAATGCGGATGTAGTGGAGTTTAGAGTAGGCTGGGGCAGTGGGAGGGGAAATGGAGAAATGGGAATGTGTGCCTTCTTTTTCAAGTGATGGAAATGTTCTAAAATGGATTGCAGTGATTGTTGCACACCACTGATTATATTTAAAAAACATGAATTGTACATTTTAAAGGGTTGAATTGTAAGGAATTTGAATTATATCTCAACAAAACTATTACATTTAAATTTTTATATTACAATTATTAAGCAAAACTCTCATTATTTTAAAAATGTAGTACATGTTCTATAATCCTTACCCCACACATCTTTGTGTGAATTTTGTGACATAGTTTTGATTATCTGAGAGATCACCTTGTAGCCACATTCAATATTCAATTTCAGGCTCATCAGAGTGTGCTTTCACTACCTCTTAAATGCTATTCACCATGCTTTGCTGTAAACTGGCCACAAAATTATAACATGTAAACTAAGTATATATTTCTCTCTCTCTCTCTCTCTCTCTCTCTCTCTCTCTCTCTCTCTCTCTCTCTTTTTAATCTGAAGACAAAGACAGGAATTTGTTTGCTGCAGGATGGTAACCAGGAGCCTTTCAAAGTCCGGCTGCACTTAGCCAAAGATATTTTGATGATCCAGGAACAGGATGTGATATGTGTGTCTGGTGAGCCTTTCTATTCTGGTGTAAGTAGCTTTTTCTTCTGTTGAAAATTCTGTGTTTGTTTTTTTGTTAATAAAACGTTTATTCACAGAACATTTTAAATATGTTTTTCTTTCAGCCAACTAGTCGATGGTTCTGCCTGTAATTTTTTGCCTACATCATTAAGTACGCAGTGGTCCTGTGTGACAGGCTTGCATGGGGTTCATGAACACACATTTTGAGTCTATCTTCAGCCTGTTGTCTATGAATCCTAGCTGTCATCATATAATGGGAGTGACACTCACATTTTCTGATCATTCTACATTTGAGAACTGTACATGTCCTCTGCCCTGGTCTTATCTTGCATGCCGTTGAACTATTGAGAGTGGTGCCAGGGTGGGGGCCATCCTTCAGCATCAGTGAAGCAGGAGGCTTTAGACAGAAGTCACTGAACTCAGCCTGAAGGATGTTCCCCTGGGATAGTGACTGAATGATTCTGTGGGGCTCCCTAATGGAATTATGCCCACTTGCAAATACTTTTCTGCAATGCTCCAATCCATTGACACATTGCGCTGCTGCTAATCTAGCTTCAGAAAGAGCCGTAAATTACAGTGCAAAACTTACTTATGAGTGCTATACTTACTCATGTCCAGGCAGCATAGCTGTGAAGACATCCTTCCATGAGATTAGATTTTATTCTACAAAAAGACATCATCATAAAACAGGTTCTGGAGTTTATCATTCATTGTGTAATAACACCCTTAAAGGCATCTTTGTAACAACGCTGCCTTATGTGATCTCAGAAGAAGATGATAGACAGTACTATGTATGTAGTCTGCTCCCTGCTTTGCCCAAACATCTGTAGCTATTTAGCATGAATATTTAATGTGCACCTTATTAACAGCTTTACCTTGGAGTGTTTAGTTGGTGGTGAATAATGCTGAACTCCAGTTCTCACATCACTTCTTACTAATACCCTAGGGGAGTCACACAAAACCCCAAATCAATAGGCCTTTGCCAACTAAAGATAATGGACATTTTGCAGACTGTTAACTATTCTTTTGTCACAGACCATTTAAATTATACTGAATCATGGGCCTGGATGTCAAGGCTGATTAAACTGTTCCCAAGGGATTGTCCTGCCTTCCCTTTGCTTAATAATAGAGAAGTGGCATGAGTCATGTAACCCTCTAGAATAAATATATTACACTGGTGCCGGATGGAAGAAATAAAATCAGTAAAATTTAGTACCTCAATATTGAAATAATATTAATGATTTTAAATTTCACAGTCAGTAATAGCTGATACACATAGACCTACTCTCTCTTTTAAAGATAATTGTGCGTATAAATAAAGCTCAGAGTGTTGGGAAGAATGAAGACAGTATTAAGGAGAAACATCTTATGGCATTGTGAGCAAGCAAAAAAGCATTTGACAAAATTCAACATCCACTACAAAATACTTTCAGCAAAATATGAATAGACAAGAATTTTCTTAGTCTGACAACTGTCATTTAACTAAAGCCTCTCATTAATATATGAGTTAACACTGAACATTCTCTCTGAGATTAAAAGCAAGTCAAGGGTAATACCTTGGCTCACTAATCAATGCTGTTTACTATGCTCCTACAGTAAGTCAAAATAATATATAAACAACAAAAATTATGCAGGAAGAGGCAAAATGGCTTTACTTACAGATTTCATGATGTATGCATAGAATACCTTAAGAATTCTGCAAAAGTTAGAATAAAACAAATATTTAGCCAGGTTGCTGGGAATAAGGACAATAGCCCAAGTTAATTATGTTTAGAAATAAAATAGAAATAAAATAAAAATACAATCCATGACACTAGAAATAAAATAAAATACAATCCACAATACTAGAAATAAAATAAAAATACAATCCATGATACCTCCAAAAGACAATACATTTAGAAACAAATTTAACAAAAGATATATATGATATATATCCTGAAAACTATAAAACTATGCTGAAGGAAATTAAAAGAAATAAACAAATAAATAGAGAAATAAAACATGATCATAAATTGAAAGCTAAGTATTGACAAGCTATGACATCTTGCCAAATACCCCAAACCAGTCAAAACCCCAAAATATTTTTGTAGATATGTACAAGTTGATTCCAAAATTTCCATGGAAATATAAGGACTTACAATAACTAGAAAAATCTTGAATAAAATGAGCAAAGTTGGAGTGTTTATTTTACCTGATTTCAGAGCTTACTATAAGATTCTAATAATAAACACAGTGTGCTGTTGTAATAAATTCAGGAATGTGAGTCAATGGAACATTATAAAGAGTCCAAAAATAGACCCACTCTTATATGGTCAGTTAAGTTTTGTTTTTTAATTGTGGTAAAATATACATAATCTAAAATGTACCATCTTAATTATTTTTAAAGTTCAGTAGCATTTCATGCATTCACTTTGTTGTGTAACTATCACAACCGTTCATTGCCAGAATGTTTATCATGCCATACTGAAACTCTAGACACACTGAATAGTAACTCTATATGCTCTCCTCCTTTTAACCTCTGGTAACCACTGTTCTGCTTTCTGCCTCTACATTTAACTATTCTGGGTAACTCTTGTAGGTGGAATCATACAATATCTGACCTTTTGTAGATGGCTTCTTTCACTTACCATGTCAAGATTCATCCATATTGAAACATATATCAGATTTTCATTCATTTCAAGGCCTGAATAATATTCTATTCTATATTTATACCACCTTTTGTTTATTTACTCACTCAGTAGTGGACATTGAGATTGTTTCCACCTTGGCTCTTTGAAAAATATCTCTAGGAACATGGGTGTACAAATATGTTTGAGTCATCACTTTTCGATTATTTGCTGTATATACCCAGAAGTGAAATTGCTGGATAAAATAATAATTACTTGTTCAATGTCTTAAGAAACTGCCGTACTCTTTTTCATGGTAGTTGTACCATTTGCCATTTCAACAACCAAAATACAAGGGTTCCATTTTCTCCACATTCATGCCAAGCCTGTTGTTTTCTGTGGTTTTGATAATAGCTATCCAAATAAGCGTGAGGTTGAATCTCACTGTGGTTTTCACTTGCATTCTCCTATTGATTAATAATGTAGAGCATCATTTTATATATTTATTTTTGACCTGTACATCTTCTTTGAATAAATGTCTATTCATACCTTTTGTCTATTTTTGAATTGGATTATTTTGATGCTGAGTTGCAGAAGTGTTTAATGTATTTTAGATATTAATCCCTTATCAGATATGTGATTTGCACATAATTTCTTCCACATTGTGGGTTGCCTTTTTACTCTATTAAGAGTAATTTTAATGTACAAAAGTTTTGAATTTTAATAAAATCTAATGTCAATTATTTCAGTTGTACCTATTGGTTGTACCTTTTTTACCATCTCCAAGAAATAATTGCCAAATTCAATGTTATGAATCTTTTGCCCCTATATTTTCTTCTAATGTTTTAAAATTTTTGCTATTACTTGTTGATTTGGTTATGTTTTAAGTTAATTTCTGTACATGGCATTAGGTAAGGGTGTAACTTCATTCTTTAGCATTTGGATATCTAGTCCAAAATAATATACCATATACATAAACATTTATCTGTGGGCTCTCTATTCTAGTTTATTGGTCTATATATTTGTCTTTATGCCAGTAACACACAGTTGTGTCTTTTTTTTTTTTTTTTTTTTTTACTGTAGCTTTGTAGCAAATTTTGAAATCAGCTAATTTGGGCTCCTTAAGATCTCATATAAATATTAGAATGGATTTTTCTATTTGTTAAAAAAATACCATTGCAATTTTGATAAAGACTGTGCTGAATCTGTAGGTCACTTATAGTAACATGGACATCTTAATAATAATAAGCTTTCTGATAGATGAACATGGCATCTTTCCATTTATTTACATGTAGTCTAAGTTCTCTTAGCAATGTTTTGTTTTCAGTGTACAAGTTTTTCAGCTCCTTAAGTTAAACACTTAGTATTTGAAAATTTTTGATAATATTGTTATGAAATTGTTTCCTTAATTTCCTTTCTGAATTATTTATTGGCAATGCATAGAAATGTCATGGAATTTTAAATTTTGATTTTGTATTCTGCTACTTTGCTTGAATTTATTAGTTCTAATGGTTTATTGTGGAATGTTTATAGTTTCCTACGTACAAGAATATGTCACCTGTGATTAGAGATAATTTCACTTATTCATTTCAAATTTGGATGACTATTATTTCTTTTACCTGCCTTATTACTCTGGTTAGGATTTACAATATTATGCTGAACAGAAATGGTAACGGCAGACATTTTCTTCTTATTCAAGATCTTAAAGAAAAACCTTCACTTTTGAGTATGATATTTGCTGCAAATTTTTTATATACAACAGTTGTTATGATGAGGTTGTTTTCTTCTATTTGTAGTTGGTTGAGTATTCAAACAGTGTTGAATTTTATCATGGAAAAATATTGAAATTTGTCAAATGCTTTCTCTGAATCAATTGAGATGATCATGTGTGTTTTTTTTAAATTTTTTTTCTTCTGTGCTACAAGCTGCTTTCCTTACCTGAAAGTACTTCCTGGGACCCCTGTCCCAGGAAGGAATTCTATCTTCTAGGTCTGCATCTAGGGAAAGGCAATCTACAATAGAGAATGTAGCACACTCTACTTTCAGATTGCCAGATTTTCTCTGTGAAAACTCCCTTTGTCTGTTTTTTAAAACCTCCCTTGGGTAAAGGCCCTCAGACACCTTTGTATTAAAAAAGACCCTCTTGGGCCGGGTGCGGTGGCTCAAGCCTGTAATCCCAGCACTTTGGGGGGCCAAGGCGGGTGGATCACGAGGTCAAGAGATCGAGACCATCCTGGTCAACATGGTGAAACCCCGTCTCTACTAAAAATACAAAAAAATTAGCTGGGCATGGTGGCACATACCTGTAATCCCAGCTACTCAGGAGGCTGAGGCAGGAGAATTGCCTGAACCCAGGAGGCAGAGGTTGCGGTGAGCCGAGATCATGCCATTGCACTCCAGCCT